AAAAAAAAAAAAAAAAAAAAAAAAAAACACTTAATAGACACCTATTATGTGCCGTGTACACATTCTCTGTGGTCAGAAGGACTGTAGCCTCCTAACGAACCGGTTTCTGCCCACTCCTGGAGGAAGATTCATTCTCACACCACAGGGATGAGAAAGAGCCTCTTCCCATCCCTGCCCATGTCCCCTGCCTGTGTGGTGAGATGCTGCCCAGTAAGAGACTCTGCCTCCTGAACCCTCATGTGACCAATTGGCATGGCTTTTTGCCAACCTGGGTTCTAAAAAATTTGAGCCTGGGACAAATGTTCACAGATCTTTACCAGACTGTGAGACTACTGACAGCAGGAATCTATTGAGTGCATCTTTGCATTTCCAGCCCCAGCTCAGGTCTGGCACGTAGCAGGTGCTCAGTAAATGAATGAATGGATGCATGCATACGTGGATGGATGGATGGTGGGTGGATGGGGGATGGATGGATGGCAGATGGATGTATGTATGGGTGGGTGGATGGTGGGTGGATGGATGGGTAGATGGATGGGTGGGTGGATGGTGGGTGGATGGATGGGTAGATGGATGGGTCGGTGGATGGTGAATGGATGGGTGGGTGGGGGGATGGGTAGGTGGATGGCTGATGGAAGAATGGATAGACAGGTGGATGGTGGACAGGTCAGGTAGTTATTTTTTTATGGCCTCCTGCTAGCCTGTGTTTCCTACAAGGCAGAGGCTGTGTCTTGTTCATCTCTGAGTCCTCAGCCCTTGGCCAATAGTGAGTACTCTGCGGATTTCTATTGAGCATGCACAGTAGGTTGACATGGACATAGCCTAGGACAGGTGGCACTCAGCACAGTGAATGGGGCTCCAGTGGTGGGCAGCACTGGAGTGAATGGGTGGTTGGTGAATTTCCCTCGTTGGTGAGCATTTCAGACTTGTTAACCCTGAGCATCTGTCCTTGCCCTGTTGTTACTGGCTCTTGAGTGCTGAGAGTGGAGGTGCTGCATAAATCCAAGGCAGAGTTGGTGCACCGTAATATGGGAACAGCCAGATGAGCATGTCCAAGAGGGTAATAGGGGGTTTCTACCTCTGGCCAGCCCCGTATGTGGTGAACATGATCCTCACATACATTCTTGGGAAGTGGAGCCTATGAGAGGCAGGGGAGAACTTGGGACAGAGGGGCAGGGAAGAAGCAGGTCCCAGCTGAGACCACCCGACTGGATGGCAGGGCAGCTGAGACACCGACTCTCCCCACCCACTGTTCCTTGGTGGCATCATTTCCATGTACTGTACTATGCACAGCCAGAAAGGCGACCCGTGTGATGAAGGGACGTCGGTTTGGGAATGGCAGGACTTGCATTGCAGATCTTTGGTCTGTTCACTGTATGACCTTGGATATGTGTTTTCACCTCTCTGGGCCTTGGTTTCCTCATCTGTAAAATGGGTGTAACCAAACCACTTGGGGTTATTCTGCACTAAGTGAGCTGGGGCAACCAGAGCCCCTGAGATGTTGCCTTCACCTGAGTACCTGCCACTAAACTAGCTATTGAATGGTCCAGGCATGGGCTGTGTGTGGTACAGACTCCAAGGACCTGCCCCTGTCCCCAGGAGGCAAGCTCTTCTCCCTCCCTCTTTGTTTCTCTCTCTCCCCCGGTCAAGGAGGAGCTGTCTGGGAGGGTAGAAGGTGACTCCAGCCCACAGGGCAGGGAGAGGGGAGCTGAGTCAGTAGGGGAGGGGCTCTGGTGGGTAGAGACAGAGCAGGAGCATGGCCACCGGCCTCAGCCACTCTGTCTCATTTATCTCCGTCCCCGCAGCCTGGGGCGGGCCTGGCACATAATAGGTCCCACTTAGCTCTTGGAGACGTCTGTGGAACTTGTCCAGGTGGCAGGATTGCCCCTCCCCCATTTCCATCACTGCTTCTCTAAAACCGGGACCACCTGCTACTTGAAGGCAGGGTCACCAGGGCACAGGCCTCTGGATCGGTGGCTGGTGGCACTGGGAGGAGGATTGGCCACACACAGGGCAGTGTGCAGGGTCTGAGAAGATCATGAGTTTTGGGGTCAGGCAGACCTGGGCAGGAGCCTTGGGTAAGTCTCAGATCCTCCTGGCCTCGGTGGGTCACCTGCAACATGCCAGTGGGGTGCTTGCCTGGCAACACATGGCCCAAGCCAGCCTGGTGCAAGCTGTCGAGTGAGGTGGTGGGAGGTGGCTCCTTTCACCAGAGCCTTTGCCCCATGGAAGGACTCAGGCAAGTCCCTGGGGGAGCACTTGGGCAGGGTCAATGTGGGGAGTGGGATCTTCCTGAGAGCACATGATTGGTGGTGAGGCCAGTGAGCAATGGGATGAAGGGCCCAGGCAATGGCTTGACTTGGATGCCCACCAGAGTCCCAGTCAGCCACTTATAGCTGTGTGACTTCAGGCAAGTCACTTTGCTCCTCGAGCCTCAGTTTCCTCATTTGCAAAATTAGGGTGGTGGTCCCAGGCCTGCCTGCTCCCTGAGATCATTTCAGTGATCAAAACAACAAAAAAACCCAACAGCAACACGACGTGAGAGTCTTTTGTGAAGCAGAGGGTCTTCTATAAACAGTGCTAGGAAGGGCAGAGGGCCACCCCCGACCCCCTGGGCTCCCTCAAAGAAGAAGCAGGGGCTATGTCTTCCCCCAGGGTCAGGGGACTCTCATGTGTCCTCTGGACCACAGAGCAAGAGTGGCCTCAGATGTGGGGGGGGAGCTGAGGTGGAAGGGCATGGTGACTCCTTCCTGACACCGACCGGGGCTGTTCTCTTCCAGGGCTGTGTCCGGGGTGGATGCTGAACCAGACTTGGTCCACGTGGAAGCCCAGGACCTCAGTGGAGGTAAGCTGGGGGTGCAGCCACCAGGTGTCCCTGCATCTTCTTGCCCACCTCCAGGCTCAGCGGTGACCGTGTTCAGTCCCTCTTCCTCCATGCGCACCCTGCACAGCCGACCTTGCTGTATTTTGTATGATGTGGCATAATTTTAAATGCGCTTGTTTTCCAGCTGGGGATAAATTGAAGTCAAGGAGCTCCGCTCCAGTGGAAAAGTCTATTAAGAGGGCAATTTGTTCTGGCCCCTGAGCACTGAGTGTTTCCCGCTCTCCCAGCCCCCACCCCAGCGCTTGCTGACGGCTGAGGAGGGGTGGGGCCTGTGTGGCTCCTCCAGTGGGGCAGGCGCTTGGCCACCCCAATCTAGCTGGCTTCATGCCATGGAGAGCCCACGGGCCTCACGTGCCATGAGGCAGGTCCTCGGTGCTCCTGAGGAAGGAATTGGCGGCAGAACCATGGAATGTTCTGGAGCATCAGAGCTGGAAGGACCCACAGATTGTACTTTCATTCCACAGACACTTGTAGTCCCCTGTGTACCATTCTGACCCTGCCAGGGACACAGAGATGAGCTGGACAAACCCCTGCCCCTGGCCTGGTGGGGAGACAGTACAGACTCAATCCTGTACAAGCAGTAGGACCCCGAGTGTAGTGGGGGAGGGGGAGGGAGGCTGTGACCAGGTGCCAGTCACTAGTCCAAACACATTTAAATACTGTGCCAGGTTCGTGCTCCTCCCGCTGGGACTCTCCTCAGGCGGTGACCTCCGCACACTGTCTTTGATGAGCAGGGGTGCTGAGGATGCAGGGCAGCAGAGCTCCTGTGCAGAGTGCACTCCCTGGGGACAGAGCAGTGCCAGGGAACATCAAGTCCTGGCTAAGAGCAGAAATGCTGGCATCTGCTCCTAGCCTGCCACTGGCCAACAGCATGACCCTGGGCAGTAACCTCCGTCCCCTCACCTGTAAAACAGAAATAATGACAACAAATGAGTCAATACCATGCAGTGCTCCACACCAGGTTGTCACACGTTGACACTGACACTGGGGGATGGCCATTTACCATTTCCCAATCCTTAGCTCTTAGCCAGGTCCTGCCACACTGTGGGCAGGTGCGGTAGCTGGTATTGTCTCCATTTTAATAACCAGGAGAACAAAGTCCAGAGAGGGTCTAGATTTGTCTGAGGTCACAGGGTCACAGGAGGGTACACCCCAGCTCTGCCATCCTCTCCTCACACCCCCTGAGGCCTTCACCAAATCCCAAAATATCCCAGGCCTTTCACAGGGTGGCATAGCAGTACTGGATGCAGTTGAGGGTGGTTGTCTTTCATGACATCCCAGCCTCTCACCAGGAGGAAGGAAAGGCCCAAATCCTAAATCGAGGGCATCCATCTTGACCACAGAAATCGGCAAGTGCTGTAAGTCAGGGCACAGTGACAGCCCAGCCATGGTGGAAAGAGTGAAAGAGTGAAGAAGCGAATGAGTGACACAGCAAAGAGGACTGGGTGAGTGAATGAGTGAGTGACTGAGTGACTGAGTGACTGAGTGTGTGACTGAGTGAGTGGGTGAAGGGGTGAGTGAGTGAGTGAGTGAATGAGTGAATGAGTGAGTGAGTGAGTGAATGAGTGAGTGAGTGAGTGAATGAGTGAATGAGTGAGTGAGTGAATGAGTGAACAAATGAGTGAGTGAATGAGTGAATGAATGAGTGAACGAATGAGTGAGTGAGTGAATGAGTGGGTGAGTGAGTGAGTGAGTGAGTGAGTGAATGAGTGGGTGAGTGAGTGAGTGAGTGAATGAGTGAGTGAATGAGTGAGTGAGTGAGTGAGTGAATGAGTCAGTGAGTGAGTGAGTGAGTGAATGAGTGAACAAATGAGTGAATGAGTGAGTGAATGAATGAGTGAACGAATGAGTGAGTGAGTGAATGAGTGAACAAATGAGTGAACGAATGAGTGAGTGAACGAGTGAATGAGTGAGTGAGTGAGTGAGTGAATGAGTGAACAAATGAGTGAGTGAGTGAGTGAATGAGTGAGTGAGTGAATGAGTGAGTGAGTGAGTGAGTGAGGGAATGAGTGAGTGAGTGAATGAATGAGTGAGTGAATGAGTGAATGAGTGAGTGAGTGAATGAGTGAACAAATGAGTGAGTGAGTGAGTGAATGAGTGAGTGAGTGGGTGAGTGAGTGAGTGAGTGAGTGGGTGAGTGAGTGAATGAGTGAACAAATGAGTGAGTGAGTGAGTGAGTGAGTGAATGAGTGGGTGAGTGAGTGAGTGAGTGGGTGAGTGAGTGAATGAGTGAACAAATGAGTGAGTGAGTGGGTGAGTGAGTGAATGAGTGAATGAGTGAGTGAGTGAGTGAGTGAATGAGTGAGTGAATGAGTGAATGAGTGAATGAGTGGGTGAGTGAGTGAGTGAATGAGTGAGTGAGTGAGTGAGTGAGTGAGTGAGTGAGTGAGTGAATGAGTGAGTGAGTGAATGAGTGAGTGAGTGAATGAATGAGTGAGTGAATGAGTGAGTGAATGAGTGAACAAATGAGTGAGTGAGTGAGTGAATGAGTGAGTGAGTGGGTGAGTGAGTGAGTGAGTGAATGAGTGAACGAATGAGTGAGTGAATGAATGAATGAGTGAGTGAGTGAGTGAATGAGTGAGTGAATGAGTGAACGAATGAGTGAATGAGTGAGTGAGTGAGTGAGTGAGTGAATGAGTGAGTGAGTGAGTGAGTGAACGAATGAGTGAGTGAATGAGTGAATGAGTGACTGAATGAGTGAATGAGTGAGTGAGTGAATGAGTGAGTGAGTGAGTGAATGAGTGAATGAGTGAGTGAGTGAGTGAGTGAACGAGTGAATGAGTGAATGAGTGAACGCGTGGGCGTCGGCTGAGCCTGCCCTGGGCTGGTCTCCGACCTGCTCTGCAGCCAGGCAAGCCCACTGCAGCATGTCAATGTTGACCACCGTGGATGACTCGCCCCTTCAAAGACATGGCGGATATGTCCCAGGAGGTTTGGCGGTGGCACAGCCATGGCCAGCTGTGGGTGGACTGCATGTCCCCGTCTCACTGAGTCCTCCAGCAGCTCTGTGAGGTGGGCAACACCTCGTGGCACAGTGTCAGAGCCTGAGGCTGTGCACATCCCACTGCATGCTGTGGGGTCTGCATGAGGGCATGGGTCTTCCTGGCTCCACACCCACGCCCCTAGCCACTCTCCACACTACCCTGCACCAGGGCCCTGGCAGGACATGCCCAAAAGTTCCATGGACTCAGAGTTTCCTGCTCTGGGCTCCACGCTGGTCCTTGCATCTGGACCTGCTCCTGGCTCCCAAGCCAGGCAGAAGAGCTTCCTCAAGGCTGGACGGCTCCAGCCTTCATGTGCCACCAAACCCTGGGAAACGGAAGGACTGAAATAAACACAGCAGCTGTCTGGCAAAGCATACATTCAGTTTTGCTCAACCATAAATATTTGAAAATGTGTGAAGAGCATTTGCTTAAAGGTAGAGAGGAAAGAACACTTGTGTCCCACTCCCTTCCTGTGGGGACGGTGTGCTCCCAGCGCACTAGCAGTGCCTTCCTGAGGATTAAAGGCACTCATCTGAGAGTGCACCTGGCACGGAGTGGCCCCCATTCAGCAGCAGGTGTCATCATGGGCAGGCTCTTTAAAAGTCAAACCTACAAGCAAACCACCGTGGTGGTATCAGAATACAGTTGGAGCCCAGAACGTGTAGCAGGCAGTCGTGTCCAAGGCTGTTTCCAACCCCTTCTCCGGCTGCAGTCTGAATATTTGCTGTCTCATGCGCCTCATGGCTGGCTCTTATCTCCTGCAGGTTTTCGGTATGTCACCTGCCAGATCCACAATTGCTCCGATAAGACACTAACAGCCCCGTTCGCAGGCCCCATTGACCACGGCTCTCTGACCGTGCAGGACGATTACATCTTCTTTAAGGTAAGCTTACTTCTGAGCTCCCGGGGCTTTTTGAAATGGGCAGTAGTTGATGTGGCATATAAGCCACTTTGGGGAAAATGGGATCACTTGGAAAAGAGGCAATAAAATGGCTCTTTTACTTTTAAGTGCTACTAGGCAGCTCACGTTCCCCTGCACCGCGACTGTGGCTGCAGCATCCCAGGATCACCTAGTCACTGGAACTCTGGCTCGGGGACGCTGCGAGCTCTGCCTCCCTCTGCCCACCCCAGTCTCCCACCACTGGGGTTCCCAAACCCATACCTGTGTTGCCCTATTTGGTTTCTTGGTGACACTGGAACTGATAAGGGCTGTTTCTGGCTAGCTCAGATCATTGGAAGGTTCATCTAGCACCAGGACAGGGTCCGTGTCCTCTGACTCTCATGCGTTGACCCCTGTTCTCTGGACCCCATGAGACAAGTCCAGAGTCTCCTGCTGAGAAAGCCCCTTGGGAAAAGCCACTGGGTCTTCTTCCCCTGAAGACCCCCATACTCCCCAGCCTCCTCCTTGTCCTGTCTCCACGAGGCTTTGTCTCCCCAGCTCCCCTCTCCACACTCAGCGTGAGCCACGGGCCACCCTGGAGTTAGGGGGCTGGGACGGGCAGGGGCATCCCACCCCCATTGGAGCCGGCCCTGACTTCCAGCCCTGCCCGTCTCCATGTCCTCTGCGGACGCCCGGCCACAGCTTTCCACGCCCCTCTGTGAGCTCGCATATGTTGTTCCTGTGCCTGGAATGTGCTCCCCCTTCCTCACCGGCCAATTCCTGCTCCTTCTCCAAGACTCATCACGCACCACCTCCTTCAGGAAGTCTTCCCCGATCTCTGCCTCCACTCCGGGCCCACTGGCTGCCTCCACACAGCACCCCCAGCCCTGCTCCCTCCTTGGTCACAGTCCAGGCCTCCCGTGCCATCCTTCGCTGCTTCCCCCTCTTGTTCCTACACCAGACCCAGGCCATCCAAGGCTGGGCACTAGGTCTATACTGACCACCTGTTTCCCGGCACCTAGCATTGCGTTCCTACCGATATCCACTCAGTGTTGGAGCAAAGTCAGGGTCAGCTTTTTGGGAACCATATCCCATGTTGAGTGGTTTGTAAACATGGTGATGGTCTGGCCTGTCAACACCCTGCAGCGCAAGACGCCAGGAGCGCCCTGTGGCTGCACAGGTTGTGTCACTACTATGTGCACCCTGGGAACCTGGGGTAGCTCAGGTAGAGGGTTTTAGGAAGAAAGGCCTGACTGTCGGGTCTGGGCTGTGAGGGGCTGTAGGGGAGGGTTCAGGGAAGCTGGGCTTGGCTCTGGCTGGGTGTTGTCGGATAGGAACTAGACGGGCGGAGTGGCCCAACAGCCGGAGTGTGTGCTGCCTGCTGGACCCTGGTGTGGCTGGAGCTGCCAGAAGCTCAACACCAAGCCTTCTCCTGTCTCCAATATTAGACAAAGCCACTCTGTGACTGTGACAGACAGAGACAAAAATGAGAGCATGGTGTTGCACAGAAGCATCCCGTGCATAGAGCCTGGGGCCAAGGTGCTAAGTGGTTCTCAGCCATCCCACTGCTGAAGCTACTCTCTCAGAAGGGTGATGGAGGTCCCTTGGAGAGGGGATCTGGGCTGCGGAGGGGGCATTTCATCATACCACACAGGGTGTCTGACCCTGATGGTACACGGACTGGCTTTGGACGACAGCCATGGGTCCTCTGAGCCTCTGTTTGCTATTCCATGCAGTGGGACTGACGATCCTTTCTGCGCTCACTTCTGGGGGCCTGCCGCTCCATGAAAGGTTCTGACTCGCTCCTGCCTGTCAGTTCTCCCCACCATGGGGTCATTCTGAGGAGGCGGCAATGGCATAAAAAGACAACGTGGGTGTCCTGCCTGGCTCCGTTCACCAGCAAAAGTCGCATTTGCATCTTTCAGATACAGCCCTGAGGTTCTGCTTTGCCTTTGGGCACAGTGGCCTCCAGGGCACTCACCTAAAGCCAACTCTGCACCCCCCAGTAGCCTGTAGATGGGGAGGTGGCAACAGTGCTCGAAGGCCTGGTTCATTCTCCACCTGTGCCCATGAGAGGCTGCGCTGTCTTCACCAGCTGGCAGGAGTGGGACCTCATCTGCGCGGCATCTGCCCATGGCTCCCCAGTGCCCTCCCTGGTGAATGCAAACTTCTAGAGTGGTGGAGGCTGGCCAAACCTGGCCCTGCCTTCTCCTGCCCACCCCTGGAGCTTATCTGATGGGAGACGGGGCTCTGAGAGGGGCAGTGACTTCTCACAGACAGTCTTTTGGGCGACATCCCCCACCTGTTAAGCAGGCAGTCTGTCTCTGGCCGTGTGGCTCTTCCTGCTGAGGGAGCAGAGCGCTACCTCCTCCAGGAAGCCTGCCCGGCCTCCCTCACCCCAGAAGACCTTACTCTGAGCTCCCAGGACCTCTGAGCTTCCAGCATCACAGCACTCCCCACACGGGGGGCACGGGGGGCTGGACCGCCACAAGACCTCACAGCCCCTGCCTTCGTGGACAGACTTGTCTAGAGAGGTTTTGTCATCACTGTGGTCATGAGGCCTTGCCCACTGCTGGCCTGTTGGAAGGGGTCGCCGTGTATTTGTTGATTTGCAGCAATAACAACATCCAACACCTTTATGATTCCTACAGAGCCACACACTGCCCCAGGTGCTTCAGACATGAGTCCCCACAACTGCCCCCTCAGGCGGCCTCTGATATTGTTGTCAGAAAGGTTCTGCAGCTCCCCCAAGGCACATGGCTGACAGGTGCTGGAGCTAGAATTTGAACGCACGCAATGGCTGTGCTCTCAAGCACTGCACCGTGTTATGTATGCACAAACTCATACACATGCACACACACAGGACCCATGCTCACCCACACACGGGACACACCCACCCACACATGTGGGATGCATGCTCACACATGTGCAAATGTGCATGGGCCACATGGTGCACATGCATGGAGCACATACATGTGCACACACGAGATGCACACGTGCCCACATGAAACGCACACGGGCACAGCTCCCTCACATCCACATGCACACATGCAGTGAGACTTAGGGTTCCAGGAGACTGTCCCCACGGGAACTGCCACCCTCTCCTTCCTCTTGTGCCCCTCCTCCTCCTCTTCCCCTCGCTCCCTCCTCGTCCTGCCCAAGAAAGCTGATGCCTCTTTTCCTGGCTCTTCTGTTGCCTGTGTGGGAGGCAAGTCACTCGATGCCTGTGCCTTGGTTTCCTCTCGTATAATATGGAAATGACCACAGCTTACGGGGCTGTCGTTGTAGGATCAATGGGCTGCCCTGGTAAAGCACTCGGGACAGTGCCACCACCTTGACAGGGCTCGGGAACTATTGCCTCTTGCTTTGTTTTTCATGCCTCATGGTTGGGTGGTCACCTTTCATGACCTGAGCTTACCTTTGGCCTGTCTCCCCCTCCACCTGGCTCACCAGTGTACTCTCTTTAAGAGAAGTTCTGGGAAATGGGGCTTTCTCCACTGTATTCCGTAACTCGGGTGCAGGAAACGTGGTGCTGAGAGAGCATGGGGAAAAGGTTAGTTCTAACTGAGGGGAGCAGAGGAAGACTTCCCAGAGGAGGGGCATTCGGTGTGGGGCTTTGAAGGATGAATAGGAGTCTGTCCATTTCAGTCGGAACAGCTATACACAGAGTAAAAGGGCATTTTCACCAGGCGAATACAATGTGTAGTTTCTTATTCAAGAGAATTTGGCTTGACTGGAAATCAAGCCCCTTAAAAATGGGTTTCTTCCCTCCCGTTAGGCAACCTCAACAAACCGGACCAAGTACTATGTTTCTTATCGTCGTGGTGAATTTGTCCTGATGAAGCTGCCGAAGTATGCACTGCCAAAGGTAAGTAAGAGTGGCTCCCCTTCCACCTGGCCCTACACCAGATCCCGGGCCTGCACTGACTCGGGGGCTGCCCACACCCTGTCCCCGGCCCTGCCTCAGACCTACCTCCATTGTGCCCACCTGCTAGCAGTTATTCCCGTTTTGCGGAGGACGCGATGCAAGTTCAGAGAGGCTGAATAACCTGTGTGAGGTCACGCAGCTAGTCAGAAACAAAAGCAGTCTCAGACCCAGGTCTGGGCGCGTCCGAGCCCAGCCTCATGGAGGACATTTGGATGATATGCTTTACAGATCTCTGTCCCATGTGTGTGATTTAGAAACACAGACAGAGCCTCCCTTCCTCCACACCTGTTTATTGAGCTCCAAATATAAGCGAGGAATTATGCCAGGAGGTGATGCCACAGCTGTGAATCAGATGCCCAGGTTCCTGTTCTTGGGGGGATTTCAGACAGGGAACAGGCAGAAGATCAAGAAAACAAATGTGTAACATGGGTGCCAGTTGTGATTCGTACTGTGAAGGGAACACAAGGCAGAGACAGAGTCATGGAGGGTGTGCACGCACGTGGGGAGGGCAACCAGGGAAGGCCTCACTGGAGGGGACATTTCATCCAAAGCCCAAAGGCTGGGAATCAAGTAGCTTTGCAAAGAGCAGGGGAGACAGCAGTGCAGGGGAAGGGCAGAGCCCGTGCAAAGGCCCTGAGGCAGAGAGTGAGGGCAAGAGAGGAGAGAGCTGCTCTGGTCTCCAGGCTGGGGCTGCAATTGCTGTAGTGTCCTTGGGCACATGAGCTAATGCTCTGGGCACTGTCAGTCCTCTCCTGAGCTAGAAATGGAAAAAGTCCATGAGGCCTTTTTAAAACTTCTCATTCTTTTTTTTTAAGGATGACCGGTAAGGGGATCTTAACCCTTGACTTGGTGTTGTCAGCACCACACTCAACCAGTGAGCGAACCAGCCATCCCTATATGGGATCCGAACCCATGGCCTTGGTGTTGTCAGCACCGCACTCTCCTGAGTGAGCTATGGGCTGGCCCTAAAACTTCCCTTTCAAAAAAGAAAATAAATGGAAAGAAAAAAAGGAGTAAGCTTAATAGATTAACTGCAGGCCTGGCTGAATAAGTAAATGAAAATCTAATGATTTCATCTCAGGCAAAGGCAGTTGGCATCTGGGGAGGTGAGGGACTTTTTAGCATGTGAGAGGCTTTTCCAGGATGTCTGGGGTCAGTGGTCTGGGGGGCTGCAGCAGCAGAAGCGCCCTGTGTCTTGGGCCCTTTGTCCTGTTGTTGAGGAGGGAGGTACACAGCTGGGAGTTAGGCCCACGCCTGGGACCCTCCCTGCTCCCCTCTGGTGTTGGGGTCTGGGGGTATCTGGAGCATCAATCAGTCTGTTTCCAAGGGTGTTCTCAACAGGCTGCATCCACGAGTCATGACCTCTGTGACTGTGACTGATGATTGTACCTCCCTGGACCTTGGCGTTCTCATCCTCATCTGCAGATGTGACGTCACAGTGTGTGTTTCTCAAAATCTTCAGTGACATTTGCAGGGAGACTTGACAGTGTGCATTTCACACTAGTTTCCATCTTCCCCCATTTCTATGGAAATTGGAGGTCATTGAAAAGAATCGCGAGGCTCTACTAAAAGGTACAGCCCAACATTGTACCTGGGTGACGGAAATGACAGACACATACATGGCCTCATGTCATTCAGTTTCAAGGAAGGACGAGGGACCCATTCAGAGCAGGTGGCATTTGCTGAGGCATTCGGCATCCTCGCGTGGGGGACCATGCCCAGGAGCCAGAGTCAGGTTGCTTTCTGGGGAACGTGGCTCCCAGAGCCCTGCAGGGTCTTCAAGACCACATCTCGCGTCACTGTGAACTTTGTCCAGCCAGACAGCCAGCTGAGTTTACCCAGTTCAGGAGAGCAGCCCGAACCAGGGTTTCCCACCAACATCTTGTAGAACTGGCTAATTGAATTTCCTAATCAGATTTTGTTGTTTTAGGGTAAATTTGCAACCTTTGCCTGTTTTCTTCCCCCAAACCACCCCCATCTTTTTTTCTTTTTCTTTTTTTAGTTGCCTGAGTAATATGATGAAAACAGTAGAAATCATAGCAGAGGGGGACCCACTTGCAAACCTCCCTCTCCCGTCTACCGGGTCTCTTTTGGTTCCCCACCCCATAGTCCTTGGCCAGATGCCAAAGTGACTTTTATGGAGCTGAGTCACAACAGGCTCTGGGCCTACACAGCCTGCTCCACATGACCTTGTATCATGAGGGTTTTTCTAGAATGATACATGACACCGACTTTAAATGACTGCAAAACTTTCAGTTAAGAAGACAGTACCTTGTTTAGCTAAGCCAGATTCTTGCTGTTTGGACATTTGGGCTGTTTCCATTTTTCATAATTATAAACAGTGCTGCAGTGAATATATTTGTGCCTGCAGGTATTTCTTTTGAGTTTTCTCAGCTTAAAGTCCAAGAAGAACTTCTGGACAAAGGATATAAATATTTATGTAGCTTAGTGGCTTTCTATAAGAGGTCCACCCAGCCACCAACAGTTATAATAGACCACTTTCAACATTGCATTGCCAAATTTTGCATTTTATCATTTTTTCTACTTTCCTTCTACATTAAAGGCTACAAATGGTACTATTATGCTGTTTTAATTTACCTGTCTGTGAAAACTATAAAAGATGAACAGTTTTTATTATATTTGTCAATATATTTTGCTTGAATTGCTTACTTGTAATAATTAAAAGACAAAACAAAACAAAACCTCAAGTTCCCTAATGGAAAAAAAAAAAAAAAAAAAAAAAAAAAACCCCAAGAACAAAAAAACAGGCCAAGACTATAAACAGACAAAAGAAGAGGAAAATCAAAATAACTATCACTTATATAAAAACATTCATAAGAGTAAGGTAAATGCAAGTTTACTTCAAAGTACAATGTTCCCGTATTTGTAATAAATTTCTGTAAATTAGAATAAAATTCTTAAAACATACAAATAAAGGAGGAAGGGACATCAGGGAAGACGGCAGAGCAGAGCACACCAGGAATCCATCTCCCCACCTAGACAGCAATTGTGCGGCCAGTATCTGTCCGATGTAACTATTTTGGAACTCTGGAGTCTGTTTGAAGGCCTGCAGCTTTGAGGGGAAGGCTTGGACAGTATATCAAGGTTAATTTTGACAATTTCAGCTCTTATCCTGACAACAGCTACTCCCCCCCCAGCCCCAGGGCAGGCAAATGTACATGAGTACCTGGCACGGCATGCACACAGCTTGAAAGAACGAGGGTGGGGCAATAAGTACCTTATCCTCCAAATACTGGGATCCGTGCTCTGATTGTTGACTGCTTCTGATCATGGAGGTGCAGACACCCAGGGGGGCAGCCATTGTTGTAACCACCACCAGCTGAAGTGGCTTCCAGGGGATTTAAAGGGCCCTTTTACTTTCCCCCTTTTCCCCTTTTGGAAGCCAGACATTTAAGGACTAGGATATTCAAAAGCAACTACATATATGGGGGAATATAGAAAGTCAACACACATGCCCAGGGAAAAGTGTGGTATCAGAAAAGACCTGAGAAGACCTTAATTGTACATGTCAAACTGATCCTTGGTAACAGAGGCAGCCTATAACAATCAGAAACAAGACAAAAAACTCTGTGGAAGAGAGACAGTCTAATTTCCAAAGTTACCATATTACTAAGTTCAAATTTCCAGTTTTCAACAAAAACAACAACAAAAATTACAAGGCAGCTAAAGAAACAGGAAAAAATATACCAACAGAAACTATTTCTGAGAAAGACCAGTTGGCAGATCTACTAGACAAAGATTTTTTTTTTCCTTTTTGTCTATTTTTACTGACTGGTAATGGGATTGCAACCCTCGGTGTCATGCCCATACTGGGGACCGGCAACGGGATCGCAACCCTCGGTGTTGCGCCCACACCGTGCTCAGCCAGTGAGCGGGAACCGGTCTCCATATGGGATCCGAACCCTCGGTGGGAGCGCCACCGCGCTCCCAAGCGGCGCACTCTCCAGTGCGCCACCGGGCCGGCCCTAGATAAAGATTTTTAATACAACTGGCTTAAAGATGCTCAAAGAACTAAAGGAAAGCATGGAGAAAAATCATGAAAACAATGTGTGAACAAAATGAAAATATCCATAAAGAGATGGAAAACATGAAAAAGAACCAAAAAGAAACTTTGGAGCTATGTAAGAATAATTGAAAAGAAAAATTCACTAGAGGGATTCAAAAGCAGATCTTGGCAGGCAGAGGAAAGAATCAGAGAGCTTGAAGAAAGGACAACTGAAAAAAGGAACAGGAAAAAAAAAGATTGAAGAAAGGTGAACACAGTCTAAGGGACCTTTGGACACAATTGAATGGATCAATACACACATGTGGGAGACCCAGAAGGAGGAGAGAGAGAGAGAGAAAGGGAAGGAGAGATTAACTGAAGAAATAATGGCCCAAAACTTCCCAAAATTGATGAAAGACATGAATATAAATACCTAAAAACTCAAAAAACTCCAAGTTTAATAAACACAAAGAGACCCACTTCAAGACACATTATAATCAAACTGTCAAAAGACAAAGACAGAGAATCTTGGAAACAGCAAGAGAGAAGTGTCTTGTCCTATACAAGCAATCCTCAGTAAGATTCATCAGAGATTTCTCATCAGGAGTCTTGGAGGCCTGAAGGCAATGAGTTGATATATTGAAAATGCTGAAAGAATCTCATGAAGGTGTTGGTTCATCAGACTGTTCCATGAATTTTTTATAAACATCTATGGAGAAATATCCCCTATCATGCCCATTAAAAATGTTTTAAAATTTTTCCAAAACTACTTTTAAAAAATGCATTCACTACAACTAATGAAGTCATACACATGTATATCCATATGTATGTATCTTTATATTTATAGAATATAATATAATGTACAATACAATTAATATACATACAAACAATATATATACACAGATGGAGAGGCATCACATAAAAGCAGTGTGTGTACGTATATATATATATACACATGCATATACAGACATTTGTTGCTATATAGACCATTTCTACCTTCTTGTCTCTCCATTCCTCCCTTCCCTGACAATCTCACTTCCTCATTCTTCAAGGTAACTGCCGTAGAAACTCTTGTAGGCTTCTCAGTATCCATTATGCCCCTTCATCTTTGTTTAGCAGACCCCCAATTTTGGCTGGTGTGTTGCTTTCCAGCTAAAAGATTGAATTTCCCAGCTTCTCTTGCAGCTACATGTGGCCATGCTTCTAAAATCTGGCCAATGAGATATTAGCAGAATGGTCCTGTGAGCCTTCCAGAGCCCTCTATTAAAGGCCAGCCTTTCCTTCCTTCCTTCCCTCCTCCCTGCACCCTGCTGCCTGGCATGTCAATGTGATGGCTGGAGCACTGGCACTCATGTTGGACCATGAGGACAAGAGCCATACCATGGGACAGAGGAGAGTGACCCAGAGGAAGCCTCTGGTCCTGGTGTGTGTCTTTGTAGAGCTTCCACACTAGACTGCCTATCTCTGGACTTCTTTTACATGTGAGAAAAATGATCTTCTAGCTTATTTAAATCACCATTTGTTTTTCTAGTTTCTTTTACTTATAAGCAAACCTAATTCTACCTGATAACAAATATTGGCAACTTCGGTGTTTCCTTCTATGTATTTCTCCAGGCCATACAAATATGTACAAATACATATAGGTATATGTGAATGTGTTTTGTGTCCTTTGTTTAAAAATGATGTCAACAAATGTCCCTGTTTCTCTCCTTTCTCAAAAAGTAAAGAATAAAGTAAGTTCAACATTAAGCAAAACTTGCGTGTTACCTATTACTCTCTAATAAGCAAAGATTTTTAAAAGACCATTCTCAATATTGGATACATAATGTTAGATGAGTGCCTTCTAATCCTGCTAGCAGGGAAGGAATTAATACAAACCTTCAGGACAGCAATTTAACCACATGTAACAAGAACTTTAAAAATGTTCCTAATCTCCAATGCAGCAATTTCCCTTCTTGGATTTTACGTTAAGGAAATAACCAGAGAGGCAGAGATCTATGTCTGGGAAAATTCACTACTGTCTTACAATAATGTTGAAAATGCTCAAGATTTACAGTAGGGAAACTGTTCAATGAAATATAGAATGTCCACAAAATGGAATAGCACGCAGTCATTAAAAGTGGTATTTATAAATAATTTTAATGGCAGAGGAAAATGCTCCCCATATAATGTGAACAAGCGTGCTATAACCCACCCATGAAAAAAAATATATGAATCACACTTGGGAAAAAGCCCAAACGTAAACATTTAAAAATGTCAATATCAGGTCTCTCTGAGGTAGCATTGCAGGTAAATTTAAGTCCTTTATACGTTCTTTTTTTGTTTCCCAGATTGTAGAAAACAGTTATCCACTGCATTTACCCAGATTATGTAAACACTTCCCTAGGAACAGAGGAGGTAAAGTCTGAATTCATGCAATCACTGTAAATATTGAATTTTGACTGCATGGTTAATGCCAGGTACCCCCAAGCTCAAATGCCCATAATATCACCAAATCCCCCTGGCCACCCCTTCTGGCAGTAAGTGAAGGACCCTCATTCCCTGCCTGACAATCTCACTGCAGGATCCGATTCTCCACCCCAGCATGAGCCAAGGGACTAGCTCTCCCCTGCCGGGGCAGCAAGGTGACAGATACCCCGACGTCACAGAGTGAGGGTGGGGAGGGAGCGAGGCGAGAGAGAAGGGCAGCACCAAGCCTGTCCCGTGCTGGGCACCACACACGCTCCATGGACACCCCAGTGGGGCTGTGGCTGCATTTCACAGACGGGAAGGCCAGGCCCTGGTTCCCTCCGCTGTAGTCCTCCCCTGGGCATGTCCTTCTGTATTAGATTCATGTCCATGGGCACAGGGCCCAGTTCATGCTGCTGGGTGCCCTCCCTGCTTGTGGGGTGCATGGTAGGTACTTCACAACACCACATCCCTTTTCCTGCGAAACCCCTTTTGGGCGCACAGTGCAGGGGACAGGCAGGGTGGGGAGGGGAAGGGGTCAGGCCTTGGCTGGTACAGGGGTCCAGGCTGGCCCTGAGCGACCTGCCCCAGCAGCTGCTTCTTCACCCTCTACTGAAGGCCATGCTTGACTGCACGGAATAGAGACTCAATCTGTTATTACTCAGAAAAAGCATTACCCTCCCTCTGCCCCAGAATCGCTGAGGAAATGTAAAGCAAGGCGCACCCCGACTGCACCTGCCATGCGGCGCGGCAGGCAGGTAGGGCCGCCTTGCCCACCTCCGCCGTCTGTCTGCAGCTCCCGTGTCTTGGCAGCTGTATTGTCAGAAGGGCAGTAAAAGTTCCGGAGCGATAGCGGGTAAAGTAATAGAGGCTGGAGAATAAAGGCACGTTATGGCTTCGGAATGGGCCTGCTCAGACGTCTTTTCATGAGGTTCCCACACAGCGTTGGGCACTGGCTGGGAGAGAAAAGAAAAACAAGACACCAAGGTTAGCTCGGATTTTCTTTTTTGATTGATTGGGTTCGATTCTCTTCTGAATTATACAATCTGGAACTGAGCCCTGGCACCACTGTGCCGAGCCTGCTCACGGCCGCCTCCCTGTTTGTGCCCTGGCAGGGTGGTGGAAACACCCTAAGACAGGAAGCCCGAGTGGATGGACCCTTGAATTCCTCCCACCTGATGCACATTCCTCAGTGCAGGGACACAGTGGTTCTGCACCCCAGTGCCTCAAACAGTGTCTGGCACACAGTAGGTGCTTGATGCCGATGTATTGACTGAATGAATGGACAGAAGACGCACCTGATCCTCTGGATGGAAGGTGGGGGAGGAGCCCCTGCCCTGCACTCCCAGAGTCATTCTGGAGATCTGGGGGCATGGAGGAGGGACGCCCCCGCCCACTGCCTTAACGATGGGCTGCCTGATGGGTGGTCTGGACGAGGAGGTGGCATCCCTGGGCCCCCCTCCCACAACCCGCATGGAGGGTCCGAGAGTCACCCCCATTTTAAAGATGTGAAGACGGAGGCCCAGGGAGGTAAGGGACTTGTCTAAGGCCACAGAGCAGGAGGGAGAGAGAGGATGCAAATCTAGGGCAGCCTGATGCCCAGGGAGCCCATGCCATCCCCCTGCCCCATGCAACCCTGACCCACCCCCCCACCCCCTGTGTCCCCCTAGGACCTGCAGATCATCAGCACGGATGAGAACCAGGTGTTTGTGGCAGTGCAGGAGTGGTACCAGGCAGACACCTACAACCTGTACCAGTCCGACCCGCGCGGGGAGCGCTACACGCTGGTGCTGGAGAACGTGCGCAGCTCGCGGCAGGCCGAGGAGACCGTGGTCATCGATGTCCTCGAGGTGGGCCTGGGTGGGGCAGGGGTGGGGGCACCCTCTCCCCTCTCCATCTCCTTCTTTCCTATCCCCTCCTAGTACTAATGCTTTATCTTAGGGGTCTGCAAACATCTTCTGAAAAGGGCCACATAATTTAGGCTTTGCAGTCCGAGAGGATATGATGTAGGTGCTTTTAGAGTGAGAGAGAAAACATGATCTTTTTGACCGAATTCAAAATATAACAATCATTGAATACAATTTTTTATAATGAGAATAGAATTCTTCGGGGGGTGCAGATGACAGTTCACCGGGTTGGGTTGGACGTTAGTGCTCCCGGCCATCACCTCCGCTGCGAGTTCATCCACGAAGCCGTGCCCAGCTCCGGCTGCACAAAACCTGGCGGCAGGAACAGCCCTCGCCGGGGTTTGGCCTGAGGGCCTCGGCTGCTCTCCCTCGGAGCCTGCGGGCTCCTGTCTGAGTGTCTCTGTCTCTCTCCGCACCCCAGTGCCTTTCCCTCTGTCTGTGCATACAAGGTCTGTCTGTCTGTCCGTCTTGCTGGCTCACTCTGTCCCTCTCCCTCAGCCCCTCACCAACTCTCCCTCCTGCCTCTCCTCTCACCAGATATGGGGCCTGGGGCCTCCACACGTGGGGTGTCCCGAGTTTGGATGGGAGCCTGTCCTCCCTGCCCACGACTGACATCTGCCCTCCCCGGGGTCCCGCCCTTGTCTGCCTCCCGCGGGAACCGCCACTACTCTGGCGTGTGCCGCTGACCCAGGGCTCTCTGGCGGGTGACATGCCCCATGCACGTACCGTCTCAGGCTTTGTCTCAGGCTCGAATTCCACAAGCGTCCGTCACACACCCATAGCACCCTGCCTGGACCAGGCTGTTCACAGGCCCGTCCTCCGTTCCTGCCGACACCATACCCAGGGAGGGGGTCGCTCAGCCCATTCACAGGTCAGGAAAGTGGGGCTCAGCCAAGGCGAACGACCTGCCTGCCCAGACAGACCCAGCCCGGTCTGTCTGCTCCGAGCTGGGCCGCATCCTTCTGGGGTCCCTCTCAGTCACACCCCCAGGTTCCTCTCATGCCCTGCCCTTGGGAAGCCAGCAGGAACACCACGAGTGGGTAGTGCATCTTGGTGGTAAGTGCTGGATGGGGGCACGACGGGTCCCACGCTGGCCACAGCAGCTGTGGACAGTGTTGCATCGGCAGCAGGTAGAGCCCTGGGCAGACAGTCAAGTTTAGGCTCGTGAGTGGGAGGCGACCTCCCAGAGAGAATGGCCAGCAAGGCTTCGGCATCATCTCTCGGTTGTCAACAGCGACTGGAACCACTGTCCCCAGGAAAGTAATGAATGTAATCATTGCTTCCAAGGAGAGCCCATCTGTCAGGGCCTACTTCCCGAGATGGGCGATGTGGACACACACAGCCTGCGGCCCCTTGCCATTAGCTGGAAGCCACCCTGCAGGCAGCCCCCCTTGATCCTGCGTGGGGCAGCCCTCACCCCCCAAGGCTCTGCCCTGAAGAACGTCCGAGGAGGTGACTGGGCACGGCCCAGATTTGGTTTTGGAAGGTGTTGTCGTGGCTGCTGCATGCTGCCACCTGGCTGAAAGGCAGAGGTTGAGTGATGATGGTCCAGGAAAGGCACCAAGGACGGGAGCTCAGGCGGGGCGCGTTCCCCGGTCTATTCTGTCCACGGGTATCTGTGATGCTCCTGCTGCAGACAGCACCCTGGGCCCCACCCCTGGCACACAGGTAGGGATATGACAGGTGCTGTCGACCCCTCAAGAAGCAGGAAGACCGGCTCCCAAAAGTGGTTCCAACTCAGCGTGCCAGCCCCTGGGAACACAGCACAGGGGCGATTGGCAGCCTGGGGCAGCAGTCAGGGAGTGCTTCCTGGAGGAGGGGGTGCAAAGACTGAGTTGAGACCGAGCAGAAGTGAGCCCGCTGGGGAGCCAGGGGTGGTACAAAGCACAGCAAACACAAACCAATGCACCAAGGCCACACGCAAGAGGAAACAAGGAACCCAAAGAGGTTCGTAATGGTCGGTTCCAAGGTGGCATCCATCGCTCACCAGCTGGTGTCCTCGCAAGTGACTTTGCTTCTCTGAAATCCATCAAGCAGCAATCACAATAGTGGTGACAGGCACAGATCTGGAGCCCGACCGCCTGGGTTCAATTCCATGTTCTGGTATATATTTGCTGTCCGGCCTTAGGTGGGTTGCTTGACCTCTCTGTGGTTCCATTTCCCATATGAAATGGGGATGACAGTAGCTCCTTTCCCATAGGGCTGCTGTGGGGGTTTGAGGACATCGTTCCTGTTGAATGGGGAGCAGCGCATGGTACCAAGTGAGCGCTCGACTTCGTCTGCCCAGGCCTTGCTCTTCCTGGGTTCAGGGGTAACACATGGGAAGGCCTGGCTCAGCACTGGCACATGAGGTCCACTGCATGCATGTGGCTGGTGCAGTTACTGCCATGGTTATTGTTTATCCAGTGGCACATCCAGGAAAAATGCTTTGTTCCAGATGCCAACCGGACTCTGCCTTGGAAGGCCTGTGGAGGAGCATCCCTCTGCAGGGCACACCCAGGTTGCGGCAAGACAGCAAAACTTTTCTGGGATCCTCTCTGCACCGGAGCTTGGGTTAGGAATGGGGGATCGGGGTACCACAATCCTGCCCCCTGTGCCTCAGCAGTCCTGACCACAGCTGGGAGATAGCCATTGTAGTGGCTGAATGGTGGCCCCCAGAAGGTCTGCCCACGTCCTAATACCCAGATGCTGCCATGTGACCTTATTTTGGAAAAGGGATCTTTGAAGCTGTAATTAAGTAATAGACTCGAGGTGAGATCATCCTAAATTATCCAGGTGGGCTCTAAATCCAGTAACAAATGTCCTTATAACAGACAGAAGAGGAGACACAGGTGCACAGAGAGGGCTGTGCAGAGACGGAGGCAGAGACTGGAGCGATAGGGCCACAAGCCAAGGAAGGCCTGGAGCCACCAAGAGCTGGAAGAGACAGGAAAGACCCTCTCCCAGAGCCTCAGAGGGAGCGCGACCCTGCTGACACCTGGATTTTGGACTTCTGCCTCCAAGAGAATTAATTCTGTTGTTTTAAGCTGCCCGGTTTGTGGCCATTTGTTACAGCCGCCCCAGGAAACGAACACAGCCATGAAGGGGGCAGTTATGCAAAGCCACGGCAATGCTTGGAGCTGATGCACGGCCGATCGGACCCACCCAGGCGAGATGTGGCCTGTATCTGCTGGTCTCGCTGGGACACAGGGGATCCAGGTTATTTATGGCTAAGTGTTTTCATGGAGACCCAGTTGAGATATAAAATAGCAAGTGCCAGATAAAGCTAGCTGTCACTGGAAGTCAGCATCCTGTCTGCCTTAAGGACATCAGGGGAGGCATTGCGACCAAGCAGTGGGCAGGGCAGAAGCCCCTCAGAGTCCCCTTCTCCTGCCTGCTTGTTGGGGTTTTATCAGCTCGGGAGCCACAAAGCCTTTCAGAGCATCCCCAACCTGCATGGGGAATGCAAGTTCTGCTCCCTCCAGACCCCACTGGCAGAAGCAGTGCCTGGTCATTTGTGGGTTTATGGCTGGTCTATAGTCCGGGACAGAGGGACCCACCAGACAGACACACACACACACTCTCACACTTGTTCCCTAGGACACGCTCACTGACATACTCACACTTGTCTTCTACACAGACACACGCTTGCACACACCCCGCCCTCTCCCAGCCCAGGCAGCTCCAGTGCCCTGCAAATCGAGCAGTCTTGGGGAATGCAAGGCTCCTGTGATGTGAAGCCCTGGGTCCCTGCAGGGCCTGGACTAGGTGCCACTTCTCACTAAGAAGCTGACTCTCTCTAAGAAGTCAGGGATGCCGTTCGCAGTCATTGAGTGTGGAGGCATGATTCTACACATCCCAGTGCTTCAGTGAGCAGGAGACAGAGGGATGTCACCATGGGTAAGAGAAGGGGATGTGGTCCTCCAAGCTTCTGTGACTGTCACCGCAGCAGGACCATCCCTGAAGCTTCGTCTGCAGAGATTAGGCCTGGCTCCCCAGACAGCAGTGTCCTGCACAGATGACAGCAGACACAGTCCCGCAGCACACTCTGTGCGTGGATTTGCCATGCATACAGAGCTCCTTTGAAAAGCCAGGAGGAAATATATGGTATGAACCTCATGGCTTCTACCTCACCTGCCCATGTCAATAAGGCCTGGTGTGTCCCAAGGGAAAGAGCCCAGCCCTGCTGCCCTGTACCCATCCCATGAACTCAACACCTGGTTCTCACAGAGCCTAGGGCTGATGGATAACTTAAACATCCCACATCCATCTGTGGGGGGCAGAATAATGCCCCTGAAAGATGTCCATGTCCTAATCCCCAGAACCTGTGAATGTCACCTCACATGGCAAAGGGGACTCTGCAGATGTGATTAAGGACCTTAAGATGGAGAGTTTATCCTGGGTAACTTGGGTGGGCCCAATGTAATCACAATGGCCTTTAAAAGCAAAAGAGGGAGTCAGAGAGAGATGTGAAGAGAGTGGAAGGGGCCATGGGCCAAGGAATGAGGGCTGCTCCGGAAGCTCGACAGGACAAAGCAATGGGTCCTCCTCTAGAGCCTCCAGAAGGAACCAGCCCTGATGATACTTTGATTTTTATCTAGTGAGACACATGTCAAATTCTACAGAACTATAAGAGAATAAATGTGTGTTGTTTTAAGCCACTGAGTGGGTGATGATTTATTACAGCAGCAGTAGAAAACTAATATAGATTTTTGGCAGTGAGGTGCTGCTGCAACAAATACCTATAAATGTGGAATTGGCTTTGGAATTGACAGGTGCTGAAAGAATTTTGTGGAGCATAATGGAAAAAACCTAGATTGTCCTGGACAGATTGTTAGCAGAAAAATGGGTCTTAAAGGTGCTGTTTGTGAGGGCTCAGAAGGAAATTAGGAGCATGTTATTGGAAAGTGGAGGAAAGGTCGTCCTTGTTATATGGTGGCAGAGAGCTTAGCTGATTGTGTCCTACAGTTATGAGGAAAGCAATATGTGTAAGTGAAGAGCTTGGATACTTTTCTGAGGAGGTTTACAAACCAAGTGTTGAGAGTGTGGTGAGGTTTTTTTCTCACTGCTTATTGTAAAGTGAGAGAGAAAAGAGAGGAAAAAACTGCTAAACAAAAAGGAACCAGGGCTCATTGGTGAGAAATTTCCAGCCCGTCCAGATCACAAAATATGCTAAAATTAAGAGATTTGCTGTCAGGAAAGCAAGCTCTAGAGAAAAAGCATAGGGTGTGGCTGATCGCCTTTGGCTATTACCTCGGGTAGGGCAAATGGCCAGAATGTTCAGCCACACTAAAAGCTCTTTGCAGAGATCAGGCATTTGATTCCTAGATCCCCTCTTAGTGATCTCAGCAGAAGCCAAAAATAGAGGTGGGGTCATCCAGGAAAGACATGTGGAAGAGCCTCTTATCTAATGGAGTGAATCTGTGACATCAACAGGAAACCCACAAAGTTCTTGAGAATGTTATATCAGCAGAAACACCGCCCACGTGGACTGAAAGGCATAGAGAGGGGACTAAACAGAAGAAAGCGGCCACGCTCTTAAACTTGCAGAGGCAGAAAACAGACTGTAAAACTGCTCAGCTGCAAACGTGAAAGCTCCCTTCATGAAAGAAAAGAAAAGTGGGGTGGCCCAGAGGGCAGGATCTCCAGCTACAACTGTTATTCCCGGGCCCGGAGACTTACTGGAATTTTCCCAACTGTACTTCAAAATTGCATGGGAGCAGTGACTCCTTTTTTCTTCCCATTTTCCCCATTTTTGAACCAGAATGTCTGTAACTGTTATCCTACACTTGTCCCAGTACTGTATTTTGGAGGCAGAGAACACGTTTTCTAACTTCCCAGGTTCACAGGTGGATTATACCTCGAGCTCACCCATGACTGGTTTAGATGATTTGGATAATCAGATTTGGAACTTTTCAGCTGGTAAAATTTAGATGAGATTTTTTGACTTTGAATGATTGCTGTGATGAGATGGGAACTTCAGTGACCTTGGGATGGAATGAATGTAGTTTGCATAAAAGACCAATATGTATTTTGGGGGACCAGAGGGTGGACTGTGCTGGGCAGAGTAACACACCCCTGAAAGATACCCACATCCTAATCCCCAGAACCTGTATCTGTTGCACTATGTGGCAAAGGGAAAATAAGGTTGTAGATGGAGTGAAGGCAGATAGAAAGATGATCCTGGGGCCGGCCCGGTGGCGCACTGGAGAGTGCGCCACCTGGGAGTGCGGCGGTGCTCCCGCCAAGGGTTCGGATCCCATGTGGAGACTGGTTCCCGCTCACTGGTTGAGCGTGGTGCGGGCGCAACACTGAGGGTTGCGATCCCTTTGCCCGTCAGTAAAAAAGATAAAAAGGAAAAAAAAAAAAAGATGATCCTGGATTATCTGAATGGGCCCAATGCAATCACAAGGGTCCTTGAAAGTGGAATAGAGAGGCAGAAGCAGAGAGTCAGAAAGACAACAGAAAAATGGTCAGAGAGGTGTGGCGTTGCTGGCTTTAAAGATGAAGGAAAAGGGTCAGAAGCCAAAGAACGCAGCAGCCTCTAGAAGCCGGAGAAGCCAGGGGGCGAGTTATCTTCTGCAGCCTCCAGAAAGGAATGCAGTTCTGCTGACACTTGATGTCAGCCCAGTGAGACCCGTGCCAGACTTCTGACCTCGGGGACTGTAAGAGAGTGAATTCGCGTTGCTTGACGCCCCCAAGTTTGTAGCAATCTGCTAGCCCAGCAGCAGGAAACGAATACACCATTCATCCATTTATTCCGGGTCATCGATGGTGTGCTCTCCATATGCCGAGCACTTGGCAGACTTGTACACCGAGGACAGTAAAAGCATCAATCTCCTGCAATTGTAACACTTTCATGAGTTGACACAGACTAAGCTCAGTGCCTGCCGCATAGAAAGCACTTAGTAACTCTGTGTTATTACCATCATCATAATTATAGTCTTTGTCTACAGATCTCTGGGTAAAATACATGCCTTTCTGGGCCTCAGTTTCCTGGGGTGAAGAAATAATGTGAGAAATAATGACATGCTGAGGATAGGGGAGCAGCGTCCAGCACGCAGGCTGCTTTGGTGAAGGGTGGGAATTCTTGCACCTGTTCATAGCACACCAGGGGTCTCAATGAATGTGCGTCTGTGGCCTCCACGCAGTAAGGAACTTGCAGAAAAGGGTCATCTCTGTGAGGGAACTGCTAGGTTGAACTCTATGAAATTGCCGATATTTGCACATTTCTTCTGGGTCAACTTAGTAACTGCTCTTGGATGTGTTTGGGTCACTGCTGTGGGCCTCTTAGAGACCTTGAGACCGGGAGTGAGGGTAGCCTGTGCACCAAAGACCAAGTGGAGACTCTGGGATGCACCGGGGAGGTGGGGACCCCACCTGTCCTCATCGCTGGGCACTTCTGTGTAGGGATTGACTGAGGGAGGCCCCAGAGGAAACCCAGAGGTGACTCCGAGGTCCAGAACCTGTGGTCCAGTAGAAACAGGAGGCGTGGTGGGGACTGCGTTCTAAATCAGGAGCTCTGGGATGAGGACAGGGTGACAGCGCATGGGCTCATTAGGGGACCTGTGCTCTACTCGCCATCCAGTGGTCAGTGTCTGCACCTGAGAGGACAGCTCAGTGTTGCAAATATCACTCAGACTTCAGGGCTGACAGAACTTGCTTCCTGTCAAAGCTTGGGACAGAGTCTTGGGTCCCTTGTCCCTCTATGCCTCCCTTGGCCCTGGCACGTGATTCTGCTGCAGGGCTGCCATGAAGGTGATGGCAGCCACGTGTGCAGAGCACGTGGCCAGGCACTGGAGCTCAGTGCACGCTCCAACATCACACAGCTCCGGGGTGGGCTTTCATGGTCCTTCTTGTGTTTTCGTCCCAGGTCAGAGGGGTGAAAGGGGTCTTCCTGGCAAACCAAAAAATTGATGGGAAGGTGATGACACTTATAACCTACAACAAGGGCCGCGACTGGGATTATCTGAGGCCACCCAACATGGACATGAATGGAAAACCGACCAACTGCAAGCCTGTAAGTAGTCTGCTGGCATCACACGCCTCCCGTGGGGTGGGCGTGAGACATGGCCACAGGGGTCCAGAAGGTCAGAGGCAGGGACATCTAGAAGGTCAGATGTGGGGGCGTCTGGGAAGGTTCATCCGAGACACAGGAACCACCTATTTCTGCTGGGCATGGCACATAGGGCCAAATGAAACTCCTTGTTTTATAAAAGAGTTAACTGGAGGTCGGAGAGGGATGTGTATTGGTTGGCTTTTGCCACAAAATTGCTGTGCAATCAGTCATCCCCAAACAGCCATCACTTATTCTCCAGATCTGCAGGTGGGCTCGGCCAAGTGACTCAGCTGGTCTCAGCTGGATTTGCTTACGTGTCAGGGAGTTGACTGATTTAGGCCAATCTCTGCTCCATACATCTTGTATTCTCATCCTGGGACCAGCCCAGATGCATTCCCACAGTGACAGCAGAGGTGCAAGAGGATAAACAGAGACAGGCAAGCACGTTCCTGTTGCTTTGCCTCACACGGGGTGATGGAGATGCAAAAAAGATTACTCAAAGCCCATTTCTTCTGAGCAGTGAGACACCCCAAACAGGTTAATTTCCCAGAACCCTCAAGAGAGAGGCATTCCTCCTTTGGGAAATTAACCACAAATTGGGGTTCTCTCCATGTATTTATTCTCCAGACCAGGAATTTACAGAAAAGGAGCATAAGTGGAGTTATGGCTAAGTATAGTTTAATAATAGAAGCTGGTAACATCAGTGAAATGACATGACATTCCATAACGCAATTTGCAAAAGCTTAAGTCAATCCACCAACAAAAGCTTGTTCTCAGCAAATACTGTGTTTTCCTATAGCAGTTTCCTCCATATTTTTACATAACAATAAAGCAACTTCCTTAATATATCAATCAGTAGGTTAACCTGCTCTCAAGGACGTCTGTCCTCGAGAGCCAGCAACTTTGCTGTGTTACGATTCTGTATCTACATCAGAGACTTTAGCCGGAGGAAAGTTTCCTGTCTTTTGCAAACTTAACATTTCTATATGTAATTTGAAAAAGTTAGGTTAAACCTGAAACTACAGGGCTTTGGAAACTAGGCCCTGTGAAATACATTTGCTTTATAAATGTTAGTGTACTCCACACATTCCACGCCTGCCGTGTCGCATCTGCTGAGTCTTACTGGCCAACGTGAAGGACTGGGGACATACACCCTGTCCATGGAAGTGAGGGGCAGGGAGTAGATTGTTGCTTCTGATCTGCCACCAAAGGCAATGCCCCATCACACAGTCAGTGAGTAGTGGGGCTGGGCCAGAGCCCAAATGCTGTGGGTTCCAAGGCTGGTTCTGCTACCCCAGGGACCTGCCTTCTACATGAACACAAGTGCAGACTGCCTGAGTCCCTGGGTTGCCCAGCATGGGGGGAGGCAGGGGTTTCCTACAGTAGCTGGGACTCATGCCAGCCCTTGTGTGGCTACCACAGGATCCAGGTGGTGCACAGACCCATGCTGGTGGGAATAGAAGGATGGAGCTTGAGGGGGCCCTGGCCATACCTGGCCCTGGCTCGAGGTGAGTGCTCAGTGCCCAGCAGCTTCAAGACAGGAAGAGGCTGAGGGGGCCACGAGAGTCTGGCCAGGCTCCCCCTCCCGCCATCCCACCCCTGTGGGACCTGCCTCTCCCGGGGCCTCTCTCCTTGCACGCCACAGGGAGCTCACCACCACCAGCATCCCTGACCCCTCCTGGGCACAGGCTGCTCAGGGTGGGGGAAGAGTTGGAGCTGCACAGAGCTGCAGTCTCAGCTCTCAGTGATGGGTGATCTTGGCCAAGTCAACCAGCTCCTCTGAGCCTCTATGGAAAGGGAAGGCGATGGTAGAAACCCCTGTTGCGTGTGGTCAGGATGAAATGAAACGATGCAGTGAGGTGCCTGTCACGGTCCCTGGCGCAGAGCAAGCAGGCGAGGAAGAGCACGTCCCTCCTTTTTTAGACCTCTCCCCTTTCCCCCATCCCCAAGACCTAGAACGCCCTTTCCCTTTTCCTAATCCAGCAAACTCCTACTGACACCTGAAAGCCCGACCCACATGTCCCCTCCACTAAGAGAGCTTTGCTGGCATACCTGCTGCTCTATTTCCCACTGTCAACCGAAAGCCTATCCAAGGCAGGGACCACACTGGGGACGCCTGAACCCATCCATTACTCTGCCTCAGTTTCCTCAGGTGCAAAATAGAACGAACAGTGCCCATTTCACAGGGTTATCCACTCAAATATGTAGGGGTACCTGCTGTGTGATGGCCCTGTATGGGTGTTCAGACAAGACAGAAAATCATCCCTGCCTCGGTGGGACTCTACCTGGCACACAGCAGGTCTGAGAAAGTGGCAGCCCCCTCCTCTCCCCCTGTCCCACCCCAGTGCTGGCCCATGGGGGCCACTGGCTCTGCAGCCTCCAGGGCAGCAGCTTCGCCTGCGCGGGGACGGGCCCTGCTCTCTGGGCCACGCGCTGGCGTGCGCTGACACTCCCTGCCTCTCAGGCCCGCTGCTGGCCTCTGCACGAGCCCCTCCTGCTGATCACGGAGGACAACACCTGTCGACCTGCATGGAGAATTAATTACCTGTCATTTGTAAAAACGCTTCCAAGAACAGAATTGCTGTGAAAGGACTAATTTTTGTATCATCGTTGGCAAAGTTAAGCCATATTAATCTGTCAAAGCAAGTTTTTTCTAAGAATAGATTCTTGTCTGCAATTATGCAGCTCAGTGAGGAGATAACCTTTGTGAGATTTATGTCCCAGCCTTAAAATAATAAAAGTAGAAGTGAACTGGGGGAGTGTGAAGCCCCGGCAGACACGTGGAGAACCCAAAGGAGAAAAAGGGAAACGCAGAACAGAGCGTGCAGGAGCCCAGTCGGGTACCAGAGGCATCGCATTAAAGCATCGGTTCAGGATACCCGGTCATCTCCTAAGAGTGTGGCTGCGGAGTCACAAAGACGCGAGTGCGGGACACAGGTGCACCCTGCACAAGGCCCTCTGGCTGGCCCTTCACGCAGCTCAGGGAACAGGGGAACATGCATCTAGGAGTTTATTTCTCATCCTAAAAACTATTCCTGCTTATTGCAGCGTACTTGGAAAATACAGACATGTATAAAAAGGGAAATAAAATATAACCGTGATCATACCGCCCAGAAATAACAACCATTGGGTATTTTTCTTTACAATCTTTAGCTCCTATGCACGTTAAAAAGTCATCACTGGGGTCCTCCCACCTGTGTGATTTGTCAGCCTTCTGTTTCTCTTAACTCTCAGTCATGAATATTTTTCTAGGCCATTTGACCGGCTCGGTCTGGGGATCTCTCCCTCCAGCAATGGAGAAATGGAGGGACCTTTTTTAATAGGTGAGCGGGGTGATCAGATCTGTTTTAGGATGAGAAAACTTCACTGGAAGATGGTTTTGAATCTGTTTACATCTAGAATATGGAATAAAAACCCATTCATTCGGCAGCCCATGGTAGCTCTTCTTAGAGCTGGCAGGAGCCGGGACGTCCCTGTGGGCAGCTCATTACCCTCCGTCCATCTGACAGTCTTTAATGATCAGCTGGACATTTCCTTAGAGCACCCGCTGGCTCCTGCATGAGGAAGGGGAGAAGGGGGAGGCTGGGGGACAGTGTCGGCTTCCCCACTTGGCCCACCTTACAGTCCACCCATGCCCCATGGGCACCCAGGCCCGCTTCCGGCAGGACTGGAGTGTTCACACCGACTCCATGGCATCAGCCTGCCCTTGGGGTCTCCTGCCCTCATCCTGAGTGGCCTTGGAGGTCCTCTCCGTCTCTGACTGCGCACCCCTAGAGGAGCCCTGGAGTCCTGGTGCCTTTGCAGGCCATCCAAGGGCCCAGCCTGCCCGGCTTGCCCTTCCCTCCATTGCATATGAGGGGACATGTGCAGGCCTCGTCCCCAGCTGTCAGACCAGCACAGCACCCGCACTGCCCAAGGCCCGGCTGCGGAGACATTTGTGTGGCCCTCAGCAGGCCCAGAGAGACTGCAGCTCTGCCGGTGTCTGCCAGTGTCCTGTGTGCACAGCTAACCGCAGAGATCCCTGAGGAGGGTTCTACCTCCAGTCACACAAGTGCCAGCCACCAGCACAGACCAGCAGTGGCTGGGGAGGGAGGAGGCAGCCAGGTTCCAGGAAGCAGCACCCTCTAACTTTGCTATGCCTGCGCCCACACAGGAAGTGACACGATGCATGCATCTCATCGGGAGACGTGGAAAGGCTGGTGACAGCCTTCGGAGACCAGCCCTGAGCCTGTCTTAACATTGCGTGGGATTTCAGCGGGGCCGATTTGTCCGCATTCGATCCGAGCATTCCTGGACAGGGGGCCTCTCCTCCTGGACAACACAGTGACTGGACCCCTGCCACCCCGGGGCCCTGCCAGCTTCAGCCCTGGGCTCTGCAGGTTGCCCTGGGCCTCCAGTCCTCCTGGTTGTCTCCAGATGGCACCTCTACAGGGTCCTCTTTGAGCTGAATTTGTCACCTTTCGTCTCTTTTTCTGTTTTTTAACAGTTTTATTGAGCTATTATTCCCGTACCATGCAATTCACTCAATTCGAATGTACAGTTCACCCACTTCAAGTGCACAATTCAGTGGTTTTTAGTATAGTCACAGAGTTGTGCAACCACCTCCTCAGTTTATTTTAGAACATTTTCATCACCCCAGAAAGAAACCCTGAGCCCTTGGCTGTCACCCCCGTGTCCCCATCGCCCCGGCCCCTGGCAGCCACTAATCTGTCTCTGTAGATCTCCCTGCTCTGGACATTTCATAGGAATGGAATCATGCAATACGTAGTACAACTAATACATTTTTTAAAACCCTGGTGCATGGGCCGGCCCGGTGGCGCACTGGATAGTGCGCCGCTTGGGAAGTGCGGCGGCGATGC